ATACTCAAGCAACTATACTCTGTGATCGGTAGACACACTAATGCGCACTAACTAGCATTGCCCTTTCATATTTCGGAGATGGCGCATCAATCGATCACAAATAAAGAAGAATTTTCATGGAACAATGCCTGTCTACTTTCAATCAACTTAAATTCATCAATACGAATATTGACGTCTCTAAGACCTTTCTATACATTCTATCCTTTAAGACAAGCATGCGCAAATCTCTTTGTTTATTATGATTTATTATATATGCATATGTATATATATATATATTATATTATACGTATATTTAAATAAAAAATACACATGTTCTTTTAAAGTATTTTGTTTTATTCGATTATATCATCATCATGCTACTATATATTATTATATGTATAAATATTATTAATTATTTATATTTTTGAACTTAAATAATAATTCTTTATTAACTTTATATAAGAAAGTTAAAATTTAAAAAATTTTAAATTGTGTTAATAAAAAATTTATAAATAAAAAAATTTATAGATATAAATTAAATATAAATTATTTATTTATATAAGAAAATGCATTGCAATTATAATCATTTTATATATAAACCATTATTTTTTAAAGATAAAAATAATTCAATGAAATTATTTTATGTATCATTCTTCTAATTCTATTGAAAAATATATAATTTTTTTTTATAAATCTATGCTTCATTTTGATATTGAATTTATCTATCTCCCACTCTTTGTGATATCGACATGTCTGACAGTGAGTTATCAGTCATCATTTGCTTTGACAGAGATTATTTCTTTTTTTAATCTATTCATATTATTTATTAATATAAAAAATAAATTAATGAAAAATTTGTAGTTTTTAAAAAATGGTAATAGTTTTTTATTGTGTTGGAAGGTGCAGGATTTTGAATCTTTTTGATTATTAAGCTAAAGATTATGTGTAATCAATATTTATTTGTGTAAAAATAGTGGAATTTTTTACTATAATATAATTAATAAGATGGGCCCACCACCAGTAGTAACAGGTATATCTCCTAAAGAAGGACCTCCAGGAACTCGTGTTATAGTTCGTGGTGAATTTTTAGGCAACAAAGTACACGATCTCATAGGTTAATTTCGCTTTTTAAGTTATTTAAAAATATATTTTTTTTATAGAAAAAAAATTCTTTTTTGAAAAAAATTTTAATATATCTAGGTTTAACGATATGTGGATGTGATTGCCTTTTATCAGCAGAATGGAAATCCTCTAATAAAATCATTGCCAGATCAGGACCTTGTAAAGGTCGAGGTGATATTATAGTAACTACTCGTAGTGGAGGAGCTGGGACATCAACAGTACAATTTCGTGGTTATCATGAAACTATAGGTCCTATGAAAGAATCTGCAGTATGGGTAGAAGAAGCTCCTATGCAAAGTTTTGTCTGGGGAAGAAGAACACTTTCTCCAACAAATTATCAGCAAGAAGACCCTTTAGGTTTAAGCGTAGAAGGCAATGAGTATGTTTATCTATCTTTTTTAAAGAGTTAATATAAATTCTTTATTATATCTTTTTATAGTAAAAAATATCCTGAAGATGAATTAATTGAACTTTTTGGAGAAGGCAGTGGAGATCTTACCAGTGAAAAATTTCATCCTGGTTGGTTTTTGTTGCAACATCATCATGCCACTACTTTTGAAGATTTAAAAGCTGGATTAGCATTTCTTAAAAGAAAAGTTAATTCTCAAAAAGAAGGTCAATTATCATTTTTAAAGGTAACTATTACAATAAAAAAATTAATATATTATTATTGATTAAAGGAAGTATTAATATATCTCTATTTATATTTTTTAAAATTCTTTTCTTTAGGCTAATGTAGGATCAGTAATGGAACAGTTGGATACAATAATTTTATTAAAAGAACAATTTGAGACAGATATAAAAACATATGGTAGTGATCCTACTGAAAAATTAGAAAAAGCTATTCGACAATCTATGTCAGAAGCTAATAAATTGTTTGATGATGTATTAGCAAGAAGAGACAGAGCAGATGCAACAAGGAATGCATTGTCTGTAATGCAGAGATACAAGTTCCTCTTTTGTATGCCAATTAATATAGAAAAAAATATAAAACGTGGCAATTATGATCTTGTAATTAATGATTATACAAGAGTAAAAAATTTATTTAAAAATACAGAAGTTGAAGTTTTTAAGAAAGTATTACAGGAAATTGATAATAGAATTATAATGTTAAAAACACATTTAAGAAATAAGCTTGAAGAAATGCCTTTTAGTTTGGAAGAACATAAAAAAATAATTAGAAATCTTGTTAATTTAGAAGCTGAAGGAGATCCAGCTTGGGATGCAATAGGTATATATATTTTTAAAATATTTTATATCTTATTTATTGAAGATAATAGTAATTTTTTTCAGTTTCTCATTCAAATTATTTAAAGAAAAGTATTACTACCTGTATGCAAGAACATTTAGAAATAGATAATTCAAATGGAGAAAATTTGAACAAAATAAAATTAGTACAAAATAATAAACAATCAAAATCGGACAAAAATGATGGAATGAATATTCCTCCACAAATATCATGTATTGAAACAATTTGTGATATAATAGTTGAACAATTACCAGATTTGTGGAGATTAGGTCAAAGTTATTTTACAGGACAATTACATGTAGTAGTGGATGCAGAGAAACAAATACCTTTTAAGGTATATTATCAAATGAATTATCAAATAAATTATCATTAAAAATATAAATTCTATTATAAAAAATTATAAAAAAAAATTATTCTCATACAGAATCTGGTATTATCAAGTATGCAACATGCCATGGAAGCCATGAAAAATATATGTAATAACGATTTAGATGCTACATGGCTTTTACATGTTTTACGTAGAATTAGGCAAATGTATGCTTCATTGATTCATTTGGATTTACCAAGTGATGCATTAGATATTTTCGGAAAATTTATACTTGATTTAAGGTACAAAATATTATTATAATATATTTATTTTTATCATGTAATAAACTAAAGCTTTAAGATCAGATTGCAGTGCTTTGGTGCGCTTTTTAAACAAACCTCAGATAACATAGCCGCTTTACATAAAAAAGAAACTTGGCAAATCGAATATCTGAATGAAGACGGTGGCGTTACTAAAGTGGTAATAATCAAATTTTATTTGTAAAAATATTATATGGATATATTGTTCTGTTAAGTATCTAATTTTGTTTTTATATAGCCATACTTATTTGAAGAAATGATCTTGGAAGTCTCAAAACGCGCGCGAGATACAGTAGTTGTTTGTGGTCCTCGAGAAGGACCATTATTTGCTAATTCGGCGCATCAACATTTATATTATAATTCTGTTAAAACATTGTTTACATCGTTTGCAAGATGTTTACAACAATTAGCGTTCAGTGGTTGCGAAGAAGCTCTTGATGATGACGAATCTTCTGTATCTCAATTAATTGGTTCTCCTTCTGGTTATAAAAGCAAGACAAACAAACATCAAGGCCCGGTAAGTTTCACGATTTATTTATAGAATGAAAAAATTATTTTGGAGAAAATAGATATTAATTACAATTAATTACAAAAAGAAAAAAGAAAAAAGAAAAAAATTTGTAGCATCTTTTGAAGTCAGTGCTATATTTTAGCATTACTTCTGAATTTTTTATCAGACGTGGGAACAATGCCTCTTAATCTCGTTAAGTAATATTCGTTATACATTGAATACCATTCTACCAAAAATTGGAGATATATTGAAAAATCAAGATTATCCAAATTTATCAAATGCAATTGGATGGAATTCTGATTGGACACAACTCAGTACATTAGATACAGCTGTTTTGGATGCATATCTGGAACGTCGTTGCGATCCGTTAGTTGGTACAATTGAACCGAGTATGTATTTAGGCGGTTTAGAATGGGATTTTGAGACTGAACCTACTCATGTAAGACCATATGCGCAAGAAATTCTAGCAAATTTGATTGCAGTTCATGCAGAGGTATCTATTGTTCACAAATAATTTTTAATTATTAAATATAATTTTTGTTATATTTATATATATATTCATATATATTTTAGGTACGCCGTGTTGCACCAGCCTTATTACAACGAGTATTATCCCACATAGTTGAGACAGTAGCAGAAGAACTTGCAAGACTTATGTCGTGTGTTACTCAATTTCGACCAGCTGGAATTGTGCAAGCACGTACTGATATTACACTTCTAAAGGATGCTTTAAAACCTTATAGTACAACAAGAGCAAAGTAATAATTTATTTTTCGTTTTTTCCTATCATTATACGAATAAAAAAAAATATTTTATTTATTTTTCAATCTGCAGGAATTTTTTTGAAGAAGCTTTAGATGCAATACCACAACCTATTAACAAAGATGATTGTATGCGAATCGACATGCTATTATCAAAAGTAGTGACGTCCATGCATTTGCAACTATCATGTCTTGCCAGTGATGCAATAAATAATACTCCTATAATGATTGCTGATCCTAATCGTGTCACTACTGTATAGTTTTAATAATAATTTAAGAATTTAAATAAGTATTTATTATATTTGTTATCATTGGTTTTTTATATTACAATATAGATTTCTTTATTCCAGTTACAAATTCATCATTGTTAATGCGACTAAACATCTCTCATCTTGCATTATTAAAATATAAATACAAGTGGCACAAAAGAAAATAAAAATTGTAAATCTTTTTAAATGTGTTTATTAATAATTGCAAATATAATATTTATTTGCGATTAACACTATATATTTACAAACGAGATATAGAATATCGAAGTCATTTCTTAAGAGCATGGGAAAAGAACAGAGATAGGACAATTATATAAATATATGGAATAAAAAAAAAGCATTGAATGTTAGGTCTATTCAGTAGTGGTTATTTATTAAAAATATATTCATATTTTTCTTTTATTTTTTTTCTTTATTTCTTTTTTTTTTCAAAAACAATTAATGTTTTAATAATAATGATAATGTTGTTACCTTTTTAATAGATTATAATGAAAAATATTTATATTTCAGCATTTTTTTGTAAAAGTGTAAATATATAACAAAAGACATTACATCTAAAATATTATGAATTGCATTTAGGAATTTATAATATGTACATTATTACTCAAATAGTGATTAGAAGAATAATAATAATTTTTGTTGCATATGATATAAATATTAAATGTTAAATAAAGTTCGTTTTAGTCTGTCTTTTTATAATTTAAATTTTCAAAATCAACAGGTTCTTCATCAATAGTGACGACATCTGGACGAGATTTATCTACTGGATATAGCCTATAAGAGAATTTATTATTTATTAAATAAAATATTTATATAATATTAAATAAAAATGTGTGACTTACCATCTTTGATAAAGATAAATAAGGAAAACAGCATCATCTCTAAAACAAGCTATTCTATGAGCTGTTGGTGTAACAATGATAAATGCAAAAACATCATCTATAAATGTATTAAATGCTTTATACATAAATGTTTTCCATGGTAAATGTGCCACAGATTTTAATTTGTAATTTACAAAAAGTTGAGGAAGCATAAACAAAAAACCAAATGCATAAACTCCATTTACTAAAGAATTAATACTCCATGAATACCAACTGAAATTTGAAATATTATGTATATAAAAATTTGAAAAATTATACAAAATAAATTATAATATTATAATTTTTATAATAAATTATATAATATAATTTTCACATTATACCTTTTGTGATGTTGATAAAGTAAAGAATAAATTGCACCGCCGATGACAAGAGGATATAATAAATAACTTAAATAACGCATACTTTCTGCATCAAATTCTCTTGTTCTAGCTTCAGCCATATAATTATTATTATTACTTTTAAGTCTAAGTTTCAATACTTTCTTCAATTTCCACATCTAACAAATATGAAATATATTTATAAAAAACAATGATTAACAAATGCTTCATTTTATCATTACCTCAATAATAGATCCAATGCCTGTAGGAATAAGTACAAGCAAAGATGAACCTTCATCTAGTAAATAAAGAAAGATAACAGTTTGACTAAATCCTCGCCATGCAACAGTCCATTTACTAAGACCTACAAGATTATCTTTTCTTCTCCAATAACTCACATCATTTTTAAAAGCAAGGAAATCAAACAGCAACTGTTTTAATACGAGATATTGTTAAATTCTGTTTCAAATTATAATTTAGTTATTTTTTAGTTTACATACATGAATGGCTGCAATAAGAAAAGTTCCTCCCAATATATATATGTTAGTATCTACAAAAATTCCTTTTACTTCATCCATATCTTTATCAGAAAATCCAAGATTTTTTAAATTTTGCATAGTAGCTTCCACATGTAATAACAATCTTAGCTTTGAAATAGAAATTGGAGAATATTGTAATGTGATATTAACTGTATTGTTTTGAGGCATGATTCTCATTAAATCATGATGTCTAGTTTGTAAAAAATCACAATTAACTATAGGTAAAAATGTTTTGCCTTGTATAATTCTGAAATAATAAAAATTTATCATATCTTATATTATTATTATTATATATTAATGATTATTTAAAATTATTAATATTAACATACTTCAAATGATTTACAAGTTCTATAGGTACATTATGTATAGGAAGTTTTATATCATCTGTCATTATTGTAAATGTTACACGGCTTTTAATATGAGTCACTGGATTTATTAAATTTTGTTTTTTTTTAATTCTGAATGTTTTTCACTCAATAAATTAAAAGCTTCTGCTTCAGGAACTTTATATTGTGTCATTTTGATAGTAATAGAAGATACATATGGATCCTATAATAATTAATTATTAAAAAAAATATAAATATACGAATGAAGTTTATATCATTTTTTATACATACCTTTTGTATATTAATATTTTTTTCATATTTCTTGGAATTTGGTGCTATGATAATATGAAGAAACAATGTTCCATTGTTTCGTGTTTTGCGTGGAATATTCAAAGTTAATAGGCTGAAAGAGAAATATAATAATATTCAAATAAACAAGACTTAAAGTTGCGTATGTTTTCAATAATATAAAATATATACTTACAGAGTATTTGCATGAGTATAATTAAAATTTTTATTATTATATACAAAATCAACTTGTTGTGCGCTAGGATATCTATCAACAGAACTATAAACTTGCAATTGTAATTGTGGTTTTTGATTCAAATACGATGTTAAGCATAGTTTGTTGTCTTCACAAGTTGGTGCCACAAACAATAAAGATAAATTATAAATCGAATAAATTATATAAACTAGAAATAATTCCGTTAATATAAGAGTAAAGGATGGCCACTGCATTTCTTTAGATTTTTGTTAAAAATATTTTTTTTATTTTCCTTTAATTATGTGAATTAAAAGTCACAGTTGATATTGAGTAACATGTGTCGTATAACCATAAATATTTATTGTAGATCACTTCGTGTGTACAATATAGACTTTAAACGTTCAAGTTCATTGGCATATAATTGATTGACCAGTATATGCTTTTCATTCTGATGCATACCGGTTTTAAAATACAATCAACGTGTTCATGCCATTAATAACAACATAAGAAAACCATAGCCATTGTTTGTTATATAGCGACATCTATGTGTCATCAGCCGTTTTGTCGAAATATATACTTTGCAAGGAAAATACGTGAAAAGTAAAAATAACAGTATTTCTTCCGCATTGAGAGTTTTTTTTTATTTTCCAAAAAGTGAGCATTCTGTGTTCCATTATATTATTTCGTAAAACATTGTATAAAAAATTAAATATCGTGTAACAGTTTATATTCTTAAATTAGCTCTATTTATGTATATAGTATATAACAAGATATGTGTGATATTCGTGTCAAAGATCCAAGATTAAATATAGAGCTGTGAGCGCCATATAGAGCGCCATGCTGGCAAAAGAAACTGATCTATCTTTAGTCATTCATGTATCCGTCGGTATGATGGATTCTATACAAGAAAAGTACGCTAGCATAAAAATAAAATATGCGTCATCTAATGATAAAAAAACAAATCAAAAAGAACGCAAAAATTTTAGTTTATTGTATGTAACAAAAGAGAAGAAAAGTTAATTATTTCATATTTAATAATAATAATGATGACGATAATATAATAACAATAATAACACATAATAAGCGTAAAAATAATACACGTAGGGATTTATTCAGTTATTCAGTTATTATAATAAAGCAAATCTATGATAATTTTACATTTATTAAATTCTATAATCTATCACAATAAATCTTTCTTTCATTGATGTAAGGTTCGTATAGAAATATATTTGAACAAACAAACCTCTACTAAAACGTAATTGTATTTCGAAAGTTTCGAGAAACCGTCGGAAAATTCGCACTATACATAGATATATTTGTAATTATTATATAGTACATATACATGTACATATGTACAAGCTGAAGTGAAGTGAAAAAAACGAATGAAATCTCCTTACTTCTTGCTGGATATGTTATAAAGGCATAAAGCTATAAACTACGGTACGTATTTGGTCCGATTTTTTATTAGCCCGATTCTATCTTGAAAATATTTGAAGCTGATTGTATATGCAAGCGAGCAATTCGACTCCTATTATCCTATTAGAAAAAACCGTAATTTTTCAATAGAGTTCAAAGATAATAAGAAATGTTAAAATCGAATCTTAAATTAAAATGATTAATATATATAAGTACAATTTATAGAAATTAAAATTCAATAATAATGAAATTGTTTATCATACTGCAATTGATTTTACGAGAATTTCAGATTTATTAAATTATGTCTCGTATTTCTAATATATATTTAGTTAAACATTAATGACCTTATTTGTACTTACTGTTCTAAAAAGTATATTTCAATAATTATCGATAAAGTACATTTTATTGCACTATTCAGTCACTAATCCGATGAAAGTGACCGTATCGCTGTTTAAATTTAACTATTGCCAATTGCATTTGTAGTAGAAAAATAGTGGTAGAACAATACGAGTGACAAAATCAAAATTCAAGATATGTGCGTGAAAAGTATTGCGTTTTACATCGTACGCGTTCAATATTCACAAATTTGTATGCGATGTTAGCGCGAATATAATACACGCACAAATCTTGTAATTTTGACGTATCGTCAGTTTCTTTTAAGAAATTATAAAACCGACGGAATTTATCTAAAAAGTTGTCAAAAATGTTTAAAATATTTTATTCGCTCATTCTTGCATCGAAATCGCTAACGATTCATCAGAAAAAAATAAAATTCCTGCATATCTATACGATTACTACGATAAATTCAATCTCTTTGCGCATTCAATTACAAAACGCCGGGCACTCGTCGTGTAAGTACTACTGTTCCAACAACGATACTTGTTCGTGCGCTTCACCATCGGAAATACTGAACGTTTCGATCCTCTTTCCGGGTTGAATTATCTTCTTTTGTCATAGTTTCGTATGCTTCACACTATCCGTCCAATAATTCTGTATTGTCATTGCTTCTAACGAATTTAAGAACGAATCGTTATCCAAACTGTACATTTCTTCGGAATTATCCTATAAGAAATATATAAAATTATTTAAACTTTTTATCTCATGATTTATCATATATCATAATTTGTAATAAAGTATAATAAGCGACAATGCCTCGACATTATTTAAAATATAACAATTTAAACGCACAGAATGAACTGTTACAATACTTACACGAATAGTAGAATCATCGATATAACCGGAACTATCGGGATTACTGCATTTGTCGCTATTAAGCGTTTGCGGCGGATTCAGATACCTACGTCTTTAATTAAATTTTCTGTGTAACGTTGAAATTTCATTTAGTTGCTAAGCAATCATTTTAATTACCTGTACATAATGAATCCAAGGCTACCCATTGTGCTGAGTAAAACTACAGTCGCTAGGCAACTTCCGGTAATAGCGGCAATGTCTACCGTTGATCTCGAAGTGTTCTCTTGCTTCTCGCTATTGCTCTCATTATAATCGGAAAGATGATCTTCCTGTACTTGATCCCTTTGGAAATCTTTGGGAAACGCACTTCGCGCTCTGCTCAGCCGCGTAGGTTCGCTCACACCAACTATAAGATTCGTCAATTTTCAAACGCTCTTTCAAAAAATTCAATTCGAAAATAATACAATCTCCGTTTTACCCTGATTAAACATTACACACAAATACCTTCGAGAATGGACGCAGCTGTGGCAAATAACTGTGGCTCGACAAAGTCGTCGTCGTCGTTGATCTCGACATCGTCGGATCGATTGAACGTCTTGATACCGGAATTACCGGCAGAGGAGGACAAAGAGGAGGAAGAGGAAGAAGATAAAAGAGAGGAGGATTTCGTTTTATTCAGTACCAGCCTGATTCTAGACACCTCTTCCTGAAGAGGTAGTACCGTGAGATCCTCCACTTGGTCCAATGTGGTGCCGTTCCGATTCCCATTTTCATCCATTTTCTCTTCTTGCTCGTACTTGGATCTACCACCGGTTTTGTTCGTGGTTAGGATCCACGTGACTTTACTATCCTTCTTCCCCGCCGAATTACGAATCCTGTCCACGGTATCTGCGACTCGTTGAGGCGTGAAACTTTTCGTCGAGTCCAGACTGACCGCGTTACTCGCGTTCCCGTGATACTCTTCCGCGGGATTAGTACTCGTTTCGACCACGCTCGCCACCATTTCCACGGGAGTCGAAATCGTACTCGATTGCCTGTCTAACGTTACAGCCGTATTCGTGGATGGATGAAGACCGATGGCTTTGGCCACGCGAAAACTCTGTCGCGGTTCGCTCCTCTCGGCCTCGATCGAGGTAATTTTCGACGTCGATTCCGAGCTCAGGCGATCCTGCTGCACCTGGTCACGAGGCTCACCCGTGCTCGATGGCACCGGGTTTCCTAAAATTACTGAAAATCAAACCGTTTCGTTAGATTATTCTCGGAATCCGTGGAATCGGAAGAACTCGGCGAAAAGTCACGTGAAAAAGTGCCAGATGTCTTTGATCATTTAGAACGTACCGAGAAATTGAGCGGTAACCCAGAACCAGTGCATCCACCAATGCAGCGTCATCGCGTCATCTGCGTGTACCTGGAACAGAGAAAAGGGGAAGAAAAAAAAGTTAGACGATCGGAACGAAATCACCTCTTACGAATCTTCCTCGAATCGTAACGATAATATCTCGCTTCTAAATTAAACGTCTGAATCGAATTCTCTTTAAATTATTGAGTATATTCTCTCCGATAATTATTTCCAGCGAACGAATTTTCACTTCGGTTCATCCTCTCGTCGCGGTTGTCAGAACAATGGTCCATTAGTCACGTGGATACGAAGAAGTATCGGGCGTCGACGTGGACAGAGTGCCGCTCGAATGTACGTACTCGAAAGCACGACACGCACAAAAGATTGATTTAGAGAGCTCGAGTTAACGCCGAGATACGAATGCTCCCCAGTTTTATGTAATCGGCAATTGGGGGAAAAATCCGCGATTAACATTCGAATAATAAATAAGGTTATATCGTTATTTCCCGCTTTTTCAAACTAGAATGAGAATGAAAACCTGGTCGAAGATAAGAGTCGACGAGTTATCATCCCTCGAACATACAGACTCGGAACAATCACCTGTGCTCGTTCAGAAAATCGGATACTCGAGTGAGTAATCGGTTGCTCGGGTTCGTTTCAGCGTGACTCACCGCCAGAAACACGGATGAAAGAATTTTAAAAGGTGGAATCGATGAATCACGGATATTCCATTTACAAGAAAGGAAAAATTTAAAAAAAAAAAAAATTAGATTGAACGTAATATTCTACGTCTATAATTTTTATTATTATGAGCGAAAAATCGGCGGGTTAGTTTAACACGGTTCGATTAAATCTGTTGACAAAGCGAAAAGTGCAGCGAAAAAAAAAAAAATAATCCGGTACAGTTATTCGCACAGTCCGGTCATGCTCTTCCGACTGTAACCAGTTGCACCTCGATGCGTCACACCGCGGCAGACGCATGCGACACAAAACGTGTGTGTCGTCGTCCAACATGTGGCAATTTATTCAATTTCTCCTAGACCAACCTTGATATCGGAGATTCGCCGGAATAAACGGTAACCACTCCCTTTCCGCCTGTTAAACGCTCCACACCGCGATTTATATGATAAAAATCGGTATACAACTTTCTCAATAATAACGATAAGATTGAGACACGTGTGACGATATTATCCTCGTCCATACATGTATACATACGCGCAAACTGGTGTGACACACGGTCGCGAGGGTCCGAGATTCGAGATGATCGTGTTAAAGAGCGCGCGACCTTGTCAAGCGAGTCAATTGGATGAATGAAATGCCTGGTGGTCAAGTTCTTGAACCGGGGCGCAGCGAGAAACTGGCGATCGCCGTTGGTTATATCCAACCACGTACCAATGAATCACGCAGTTGGCTAAACCCATGTAATCCGTATCGTTATGTTATCGATATCGAGAACTGTACCCGGATGATAATGAGAGGCACAATAGAGTCGAGGAACGAACGAGTTGTGTGCGGGGGGAGAAGGGTAGGGGGGGGGGGGAGGAAGAGGGAGAGAAGGCCGCTTCCGCGAGTACCACTTCGTTTCTAGACCAAAAAAGACTTTGCTGTTGAGATCGCGTTTTACGCGCTCTCGTTCACGGTGCACGGCTTTGTTGGTGGCCGTTTATTAATTCGGCCGCGATTAAATCTGATTTTTCAGCATCAATTAGTTGAGAGGAATCAAGCGGTCCGTCCTACTTCCTTTATGGATAATGATGAACGATCGGCTGATCAAAGCGATCCCTCCCCTCCGACGAAAGATTGCGATAGTTTTACGTTTTATGATATATACGTATACGTTTGAGAGAGAGAGAGAGAAGAAAAAAAATATTTCGATCCAGCGTAGGAGGAAGATATAACGAGGTATTCGAAGCGTGGTTAAGCATCAGGGAAATTGGTTTTCTCAGCGGTATAACCTCGAGCTGGCTGGCAATAAAAGATGTTGCGTAAGCGCATCTCGACAACTCGTTTCCTCTAACCTTACTTGATTCATTTTACATATTTATTCAGTTGGAAGGTTGACCTTCAATTGAGCTTTGCGCGAATGGGTTCAAATTTAAGATAGAAAAATTCTTTTGACAATAACGTGTCGATATAATTGACAAAAGAAGAAAAAAAAAAAGAATATACAAAAGTGTTTTTTTTTTTCTTGCTAAAATAACAATTACTTTCGAGGATAATGGTTATGTACTGATTAATCCAGTAAGATCGGGTCTTTTTTTCTATCGTCTTAATTGGCATTCCGTTTCAAACAAAGATTCATTTTTGCGATTAATATCGCGTAATTATTCGTTAATCGCGTTTCTCAATCGCCTTTGAATAAGCCTTCCTTCCCGAGGCTCACTTGTTTCGCCTCCCATCTGTCGTCCCAACACACATTTGTCAACGTTCCAATGCTTCCAATGTAAACATTTGCCAAACGCCTCGTCTCTAGAACGAAAGGAAAACAAAGGTGGCATTATATCTTTTTCTTTTTCCCCTCCAGGGAGTTCCGTTCGCAACAAGTGATCGTTAACACGTTCACGGTCATGTAGGTCAGGATAATTGTTGCACAGAAGTTCACGAACCGTATGTAGGCCGACGATTGTGTGCGAATCGTACCGATCTATTTATCTGTTGATTCTTTACAGATTCCGTCCACCTATAAGAAATTGCTCGAAAGTTTTCGTAATAATTGTGGAAAGGATCGAAATAATTACGTCAACGCGTCTGTTCTTTATTTCTTTCAATTCGTATCCATTTCGAGGACGTTATTATTTCTTTTTTTTTTTTTCCATCCTTCCATCGCATCCACGCAGAGAAACACGATCGTTTCTCTCCATAACCAGACTAAAGAAAAGCGACAACTGGATTGTTTGCATTACCAGATTGCATAATAACGAACTGTCTCGGCTGACTTGGCGATCAAGTAGAACGGGTTTCAAATCATAGACTCTCTCTACTAAGGGATTCGCCGATCGATATCGAATCGAATAGCTGAGGTCGTTCTGCAAGAACTTGTTAAAAAAAAAAAAACTCGCGCACAGTTTTAAACATCAACAAAACGATATTTATTTTTTATAGGTCGTAAAAAAATTATAAAAAAAATTCTATCACTGACAGCTCGTCCATAAATGCTTCAATATAAAATGAATTTATTTTATTATCGCTGTTATTTATTTAAAAATCGTCTTATTTGTCTTGTACAATACAATTTAATTATATTTTATATATAATTATAATTTCGTAACAATATGTATTTATATTTTGCAATAGTCAATGTGCCGTGCTAGGGCTAGGCTATTGCTATATTCAAAGCTACATTGAATGCAGACCATATACCAAAGATGACTAGACTCGATGCAGACGAGCGACTTTTATCGTTGCGATTATACGTCTTTGTTCGTTTTTTTTCAACTGGGAAAACAAGGAAAAATACAGATGCAAGCATTTTAGTTTTATCGCTACAACCTCACCATTACAAATTCTTCTAAAGCCATCGTTGAATTCTACATACTATTGAATTATTTCATCGTGAAAGAAATTCTCACAATTTGTCTTCGTACAATTAACGAATGACGAAGTATCTAAGTATCACTTAACCGAATAAAATCATGGGAGAATTCCGGCTACAAAACTAAGAAAACTAGGTAAATCAGGTTCACGTTCGTTCGAGCCTCGAGAAAATTTCAAGACAATTGTTCGTTTCGAATTACGCTTCTTTTGGCGTACGCATTCGGAATACGAACTCGCTCGTTTTTTCTAATCTTTTCGACTCACTGTTCCATACATATTTATTTTCACTTTCGTGCCACTTGTTTCGCCTCTCCTAACAACACTGGTAAAATTCGTTTTGGTTCACTAACAGACTCGTTTCTTCCACAAAATCGTTCAAATAGCTTTCACTTGAGCGAAACACATTTTTTCCGTTCCTACTTTTTCTTCTCTTCTATAATTTATATTTTCGAATCGTAACGAACAAAAGATGGCGGTAAACGAAGATTCGGTTAAAAGTCTTCGTCGAGATTCTTCGGACAGGTGCACGCGTATAACTCGATAAACTGTAATTCCGAATTAGAACAGTGAACGCGTTCTCGAATTGATCCAATTTTCCAGAGTTCGTAACGAGATTTGCACATGACGGGGATAATATAAACTCGATCGCCGGAAACCGGTCTGGCGAGGATTAACACTTACATTATACCTGTGCTGTCGTGTTAATTGAAGAATTTCCAGGTGAGAAATAAATATAACGATCCCTCTTCGGAAACTTTAATGGCGAATAGTCGCGCCTCCTATCGAAATATCCAAGTAACAAAAGTCATGGCTACCGCTCGTTTTTCCTCTACAATGTGCTACACATGTGCCAGGTATTCTTGCGCCATTCTTTTCACAGAATTTTATTCTCGATCGAGCTCGACTGCCCAATCGAATTTATCGACGTGACTTTTATCTAATCTGATGGATGTCATCGGACTTTTGACCAATCTAATTTTTCATAAATCGAGTCCGGATATTTCGCAGTTTTCCGCATCATTCTTTCCACGATTAGGTAATTAAATCATTAGTATTAATGTATCTAAAATTTCGAAAGAATGGTCATAGTAACGAACTTCGTGATCAATGCGCAATTAAAAGTAAATTTAACTTTGTTCTCTGACAGAACGGTAGAGAAGGACGGTACAATAATAATTGGTTGCTAATTGGTTGTACAATAACGAATCGTCTGACCGTTACTAACGAGACGCCACCATGTTAATTGTTTCTTCTGTGCTTTTGCACATTTCGTTTGCGTTTCACTGTTCGATTTCGTTTTCGCCAAAAACTAAATGTCGAGAACATTGATCGAATTGATCGAATTTAGAAAAAAGTGATGTTTAAACAAAAAACAAACGAGAAGATAGAAGTTAAAAACTTCTTAAATACGATAATGGGAAAAATATTGCAAATAATAGAGAAAGAAAATTACTATGTATTATCGATTATGATTATTTACGTTAATAACACTTTTGCTGTAAGCAATTAGAAAATCTCTGAAAGTCAATTCGTGTGACGATTGAACACCTGAGAGGATCACTAAAGAAGATACGTTATAAAAACACGTTGATAATTTACATGGCCGCGATACACACGGCTTCGGTCGTCACTTGATAATAACTTTTAATATATGCATATGTTTCTAAAAGCGAAAGCTTCTAATGCAACTGGCAGTCACGCTTGCGTTCGTGCAAAACCCGTAAGAAAGAAAAAACTCGCTTTCCTTGCTATTTATTAAAACATTTTACTAAAATCGACTAAACATTTTTACAATTTAACTGTTATCAACAATTTTAATCAAGATTTAAATAGAAGAAAAAAACTTTTGATCGAGCATTTTTAAATAAAATAATATTTTATTATTACACGAATAATATCAATATCAATTTTTTTTATTTTAACCTTTTATTGCATTTTAAATTCAATATATACAAGTTAGGTTTAAAATATAATTAAAGTTTAATCACGCAATTAATTCTTTTAATTTGCGTTATTATAATATAATATACGTATAACGTATTTTTCAAAAATATGCTCGATAACGGAAGATACGTGACGTTGGATTAAAAGCATTATGATATATCGTGTGCAAAATCGTAATATATATATGTATACAATATTCAGTATCGAAAGCAATTTGTGTCACTGTGTTTCTAATAACACAGTTCGAGACAATTTTCTTCGATCTATTTTCGCAATGTCGGAATATTCGATTACGCACCAATGAAATATAAATCGAGATTACCTATAAAAGAATCAAGATTGACCAAGATGATCCTGAATTCATAAATACGTTCTTTTTCTTCTATAGAAGAGAACTAGTAACTTTTTGATTTTAAAAGTTGGTATTAAACCGATACATTTAAAACATGAAAATTTATTAGGAAGACAGAATTGTGTCAATTTTCTTTTTTCACATCTATTTAATTTTCTTCGTACGATCACTTTTTTTTTAAATTGCGGATTATCTTTCAACTAGTATTGTTGTATATCATTCGATATATTATAATTCGTAAATAACATAACGTAAATATCTTTTAATCTGAAGAAAGTAGAACAGAAATGAAGAAAACTGAATACAAAACGAATTTCGCGATTGATGAGATACAAAAGAGAAAGGAAGAATGAAAGAATTCATTTGATTGGCTTAAAACTTAAAATGGTTTCGAATCGCGAAACAGAGAATCTAAACAAGCCGAAGCACGTGACAGGGCAACGTGATGGCATGATAGGTAAATACTAGTAAAATTACCGTGATTAAGTAATTATCTTTCGAGCAACCGACATTTCAAGACGATAAGGAGGGAAAGCAAAGGAATACGTATGCTACAGGGGTTTTGCGATACACTTCTATACGCTATTGTTTATTGTCCATGCTGGAAAGATAAACCTTTCACTTGCATTCTCATCTTGAACGAGGAGGATTCTCTGATCACGAGTAGAGAAGACAATGCCCTCTGCACTATAATCGGTGAATTTCCACAGATGTGACGTAAAAGAATGAAATTTTTTTATCTAAATAATTGATAATTCCAATTTCCAAAAAATTATGTACATACAATATTTAAATAATATTATTCAGATACGAATGAAAATGATGTTCGACATTTTTTAACTTAAATAAAATTTCTTCTTTGAATGAAATAGGTTATGAAAACGAAATCACGAAGAAAATAGCTGTGCTTCTGTAATATGTATACACAAGTATCGAATTATTATAAGAACATAATATGGACTAAGAAAAGTGAATGTCGGAAGAAACGAACGTGCTAGAAAAAGAAAGAAAAAGAAGAAAAAAATAGAGGCAAGAACTAAGAGAGACAGAGAAAGAAGAGAGAGGAAAATTGCGATCCGTTCTATTAGTTTATATTGTATCGAGCAGTAGAGGGAATACGGGAACATCCTGTCGTGAAAATTCATGTCCCGGACGGAAGTTTGAGGGAGACCACAAATGAGATACGACGTCAACCAAGCTGTGTGAATTGCTCGCGCGATACACGCGATAATTCGAACAGAGTACCACCAGAATGGCAATTAATCCGCTCCAACAATCATTCGTTAGCGGTAATCTTGCATAATAGATATATGTATATTAGCGTTACTAAAAAATTGTTACAAACGTTCACATAAAACAAAACAGAATAAATTAATGTGCGATTTAGAATAGTTAAACATTCGTTACGAACGTAGAGAAAAGAACGTGTAGAAAATAAACAGTATCTCTCATTGCAATTTTTTTTTGAAAACTTTTACGAAAATTTCGAATAATGGATAAAAATTTTATCTACTGTAATGATCTGACAATATATTTTAAAGAAAAAAGAAAAAAAAGGAAAGTTTGTTACATTATAGAACAAAATCCAATGCTTTCACTCAATATCGTGCAATAGATTGCGTGAATATTGAATTAGATTCAACATTTCTAGAACATTTAAAATAATTTTATTTCGATTTTAACTTAAAATAAAATTTGATTAGTGAGTCAATTTCTACAATTTTAGGACTTTTCATACTGTGTTTATCTTCCGTGTGAACTTTCGAGGTAAAGAATGCAAAAGGAAGAATAAAATGCATTGGTATCATTCTGGTCTGTCTGGAATGTGTACTATTCCTGGATATTCTTGAGGGACTCGTTGCTCACGATTGCGAAAAACTTTATTCCTGTTTACACTTTATTTCAGTAATTAAATATACTTTTATCGTATTAATGCAAGTATATATAAGAATTATGCCATATCAATCATTAAAAATTCTTTTTAATTATTATTTATTATACGTGTTTAATAAATAATAAAAAAATGTACAAGAAATGAACTAATTACAATGGACAAAAAAAAGCCGATCCTGCCAGGATTCGAACCTGGAATCTTCTGATCCGTAGTCAGACGCGTTATCCGTTGCGCCACAGGACCTATTACTTACAAAATTTTTAAACTTGATATAAAAGATACGTATATAAATTATTCATTAAAAATATAAAAAAAATCAATGTAACATTTAAATAATAAATATTTTTCTTTCTTTTTCTTATATGTTTCACTTAAAATATAAGATGAAAAAAAAGGAAGATTATTTAATGCATATATTGCAAAACAATTTCCGACACTATGCGATCTTTTCGACAGAGAAAATAATAATCATAAAAATATTCCATCCATTGATTAGATATTTATGAATGGCAATCACCCTTGACATTTTATATTAAATAATGTTAAACAATGTTTATAAATATCAAGAAAAGTTATTAACAAGTCAATAAGCCAGAAATTTAAGTGTGAAAATATTACATGATGTTTAATGTCATCATGATAGAATATTGACTCACCGTGGCAATAGAACGAGTGATATAATTAATAAATATCGCACGCAGAATAGTCCCTATGACTGGGATTGAAAACGTAAGCGTTTGAACGTGCACGACACAGAACTCACATCAGACTTTCGAAACAATACACACCTCGTGACACTTCCGCGAAACAATAATACTCAACACTATCAAACAATCTCTCTTTCTAATGTTGTTTTCTAATGTTCGTTTTCAAACAATTGGCAATACACACCCAGAATATTCCTCCGTTGTTCATATTAATACGGGTAGCAGACATTTGATGTTAGGAACAAAAAAAAATTCAGATTATGAATACGCACTTAATTCAACGAGTAACGTCAATGTCACCCCGCTACTGTCTATTGAAAATAGAAGGGTGTTGATCCAGTCGGAGAGATCCAAAAAAATTGCGTACTGCTGTTTCCCACGAATAAATCATTATTCTCCATTCACCCTTCGTACTTAAATCAGTCACGTGAATCACATAACCACGCGCGTCCCGTTCAACTACTCAAAAACATGAGTGAAACAGGCTGAGAGCTGTCACAAACCATCACTACTCTCGCCATTTTGGTTTACACTGACACTCAGAAACGATCAGAGAGGTGTTATACTATGAATACGCATGCGCGCGACAGGTGGCTGCCCGGGAGTTGAACGTTGCCTGCAGTATATTGTCGACATTCGAATTGTTACGTATTTTATTATTAAAAATTTTGAAAAAAACACAAGATTGACATTATTATATATTAAATATTATTATATATATATATTTTTTATTATATATAATATATATATATGATTATTAAAATTATTTAAATA